TGGCTAGGTTGGATGAGGCTTTGAACAACCTGGTCTAGTGGAAGGTGTCCCTGCTGATGGCAGGGGGGTTGGAACTGGATGAGCTTTGAAGTCCCTTCCAATCCAAACCATTCTGTGATTTACAAATAAACATCAATACTTTAAACCTTGATAATAATTTTACTTTTCCAGAAATTTAACATGCAGAATTTACTTTCCTGCATCCTCAGTTGAACTTGCAAAATCCAGGAGCTTCCTTGGATCCAGTCCTCTATGGCTAAACTCATGGCAGAGGGATGGAACCAGATGATTTTTAAGATCCCTTCCAACCCAAACCATTCTGTGATTCTATGATGATTAGTCTCTTGATCAGAGCTCTCAGCTGGGACGTAGAATGACATTTCTTGAACACACAACTCTTCCAGTCAAGAGGAATATCCTAAGCATCAGCCTCTATCCCATCTCAAGTCTCAAAGCTGAAGTATGGCCTAAAACACAGATGCTTTGACAAACTGCATGCTATCAGTATTGGTATGACTAATTCTGATATTCCAAACAAGTTCCATGGTCTCCCCCCTCACACTCACACACACACCAATTTTAATCCTTTGCTGTGCAGATTGCAAACAAGAGGCACTCTCATGAAAAGTCTCATTAACTGCGCTGCTTTTATACTTCCAATTAGAACAGCTTACGCCCACTGCAGATGGCAGAACGACCGCCACCGATTACAGACAGCTCCACGTCAAGCGACAAACAGTTCTGGTCATAGGTTCTTGATTTGTTCAAGATTCTTGAAAATAAAGAATATCCAAAACAAAGAAAGGTGACAGAATCCTTAAAATAGTCAAAATTAATGAGGAAAAAAAAAAAAGATTTAACATATTAAGTCTAAGCTGAGAAGACTTAAATGCTCAATGCATCAGTGTAGAGGGCAATGCACTCAGTGAAGTGAATGGGAGTAATCATGCATGTGGAGTTACAAACCTGTGCCAGTTTTCAGTTTAACAGCCTGGTAATTGTGGTTTGGGTTAACTGGATGAATAAACCGTGACTGTTGACAGTGATTAAGGTAACATTTTGTTATCTTTACAAATGTTCTGTGCTTTTCTGGAAGAGGAAGATCACTTGAGGATTCAGTCTCTTACTCAGATTTGTAGCTTGTTTTTCAACAATACCATTGCTCTGCAATTCAAAGTCAAGAAAATAATTACACTTTCTAAAATCCATGGACAAATCATGGGTGACAAGAGGTCACCATATTTCTTTTCCTTCTCCATGAACTTTTTAATTTGATGTTCTACATTTTTAATAAGTCAGACAACATGTGTTTAGATGTTATCAAGTTAGTAACAGGTTTTTAGTCTCATCTTGGGGAAAAAAAAAAGATTCAATCATGGGCAGCATCTGGTCTTCAAGATATTTTTTTCCTCATTTATCTCACACAAGAGACAGCAATGTATTTGACTTTTACATCTATAAAAGCAAATCTGATTATAGAATTGTTATTCTGTTGGATGCTTTTTAATTCTGTAACTGGGTCCTATGGTCATTATACATAACAGTTATTTCCTTGCAGAAAGCCCAAGCTATCTACGAGGGCGTGTCTGTTGTTCTTGCCTATGTACAACATGATGTGTCTGACTGTGAGCTGTGGTGAGAAAAAGAGAATGTTAAAATATTGAGGGAATGACAATGAGAGAGGAACAGAATGTGAAAAATCACCTTTCCTTCTTTTTCCAAATCCTGCTCTGTTTCAGGTCTGTTCTATGATGCAGCATTACTGCTCCAGTTCTTTTCCTGCCTTCTTCTCCTCAGCCACTGGGGTTGCCTGAACACTTTACCAGATGAAAGTCATTGTCCTAATTTATTCAAGAGGCCAAGTGAGACTTATGGAGCAAAACAGAATCGAGGACAGAGAGAGAGAGTGACAGCTTTGAAAAGTTGTGTACCTGATTTCCATGACAATGAAGATCCAAATACCTTGCAGCACCCCAGAAGGAAGAACAGCGACTTTTGAAGAACTGGATTTAGAAATACCTCACGATAAGGTGGAGAAGAAAGGGGAAGAGAAAAAAATTGTATGGTGTGCAGAGCAAGGAGACCAAGAACCTCTGATTTTCATTTTATAGTAGAACTAGGATTCAGGACATTGTTAGGTACACGTAGCTGTCATTTTTAAAAATGCTGACCTTCATAAACCTTCTTGCTATTCTGATACACCTGTATCTGTTTCTAATGATTTCCCTAAATTTATTTTAAAAGTGTTTCACAGAAAATGCTAAAAATATATTACTCTGGTATTTTAAATCCCTTGCTTGAAAGAAATAGTTCTCTGAGGCACAAATGAGAGGATGCTGCAGGCTTCCCAGCTCTTGAACAGGTAAATGCTGGAGTTCAGGAAACTCTTGAACAGGTAAATGATGGAGTTGAGGAAATTACTTTATCATCACCCACTTTTCCATCGTGGAAAACACAAATCTATGTTTAAAGGAGAAAGTGTGAAGAAAGTCACTTGTGCTGAAGTAAAAAGGAACGTGATTTTGTTATTTCTAGAAGAACCACTGGCACTACTAAAAAGTCACCAAAATCCAGATATTTTCAGGCTGAAACAAGTATATCACATAAATCCGTTAAACTAGAATGCTAAATCCAGATAAGCACTGCACTACAGTTGTCTTAGAAGTTAAATCCATTGTATATCAATACAATAATTTCATCACACATTAAAAAAAAAATTAAAAGTCATTTACCTAAGAAAGACATGTCTGTGTACAATAAAGGATAGAAGGTATTTGAGAAATGAATAGGAGCACACTAATCCTGTATTCTGATTTTGGTTAAGTACTGGATAGAGGGGAGAATTATGTTTTCTTTTTAGAAATTAAAAAGAAAATCCAACCAGAATTATTGTTTCCTGGTTCCTCAGGTGCAAATGTGTCTGTTCACAAGGGCAGAAGAGTGCCACGCTTTGGACCAGTTATATCCTAATTTTAGGGGATGTTAATCAAGAATTATGGTAAACCCCAAGCAACCAACCTAAGATCAGGATGTTTGTGAATGTGGCAGAGACACAACAAAAAGAACAGCAGTCCATGGGAATAGTTGTCCTCGGGAGAAGCCTTTGGGGTTTGAGTAATGTCATCAGCACTTTGTGGTGTTCCTTTGACACAACAAAATACATCAGGCAAAAAAAACCAAACCCTATTTCAAAACAAAACTCCAGAGCTTTCACGGTGTAGTACTTGAGCTCTGCCATTTCAGCTGATTTCACAAGCCCTCTCCCCCTGCCTCTCATTCCTACCTCATTCCATCCCTAGCATGACAACAGTCCATAAAATGACTCCTTTGAATAATCCAGATTAAAATTAATCCTCCATATAGTAGTATAAAGTCTTGATTAAAACTATGACATGAAAACATACCTGGTTGACAAATTTGTCACCATTAGTAGCACAAACTTTTTATTAAGCACTAACAATATTTCATTGTATGAACACAGACAGCACCATCCAGACACTGGAAAAGATCCACCTAATAAGTAGCCAGTAAGTTTAGGTTTGAGTTTTCAGAGATGCACAGATTCTTAGAGTTAGGGAATACTATAACCATTCTATTCCAGACTTCTCTAAAAAATAGCCCCATGAAGTTTTACTTTGAGCTTGTCAGTCTAAAAGCAAATTAAAATTATTTAAGTCAACAAAATGAAGATTTAGGTGCTTAATCTATAGAAACTTTTACTAATCAATAAGAGATATTAAAATCAAGAAAATAACCCTAATAATATAAGTGGAAAAAATCATTCTATGGTTGTAGTGAAATCACCCACTTATTTGCACATTTAAAAAAATAAAGAAATTCAGCAATTTAATAAAGTGTGAGAAAACTGTAAGAAGTGAGCCAAACAACAGTAAATTTTATCTGAGTTAAGAACACAACTGCAGAACTAAGTTGTCTTTGGAAAATATTCCTCACCACTTCTCAAGGAGAAAGAAGCCACGGGTTTCATGCCCTTTCTGCTTTATACACACAACCTTAAATTTTACCAATTTTTCTTTCTGCAGTAATGTGTTACCTGCATAAACAAAGCCAGAATTTCCCAAATCGATGCCAGCAAAAGCAAAGTAGTAGAACTCAACATACCTGCTGATAGAAAAAATTTAGAGTTGGTTTGTCCTCAGTGAACTGGTTTAGAAATCCTTTTGGCAAATATCGAATTCTCAATTCATATCTGAAAAGCAAGAAAAAGACAATTAAACTGCTGAGACAAAAATAATAATCAAGATTTCCTCACAAGTAAAAGACGTGAGGAACACGTCTTTTTGATGTGTTTGAACACGTTCAAACTATCTTAAAAATAAGGATAAAATCAAAACAAACTCTGAAAACTAAAGGAAAATTTCCTCTTTTGACTTCTCAGGGAACTAATCTGGAATGCAGCACCTGACATTTCATAAAGAGGTTTACCAAGGACCTTTGTACTAGAAGCAAACATAAAGCCCTGCTGCCTTCTCAGAGCTTCAGGGAGGACTGAAGCATCAAGACTGGGAGCAGATAAGCTATCAGGTCCACATCCATGGGAAGGGAGGCCCTAATCAGGTGATGACAGCACATGAGTTACCATAACCACTGACCTGACCCCCTGGCAACAGTTTTTATCTTTGGTTATCACAAGCATGGTACTTAAAATGCAAATCCCACTGCCCCAAGAGTGGCAACCAGTGTTACTCACCAGGAAACCACATCCTATAGACAAAACAAAGGCGTACTCAAGGTACACCACTCTGCTCCTTCTCTGATCAGAGCTGCAATATCCACCTCTGAATTGTTGCAAAGGTTTTGAAGGGATTTCTCTGCAAAAGGTTTTCTGCTTCCCTATTCATCATCAAGATGCATGTAAAAGCCAAATGAACCAGTTTCCAATGTGACAGTCATACTTTTCAAGTTAGTAGTATACCACAGAGTGAGGCAGATTCAGAATTAGCCTTCATTCATGACCTACACCAAATTTATATCCCTTCTCAAACCCTAAACTTCTGCTTCCAATCCCTAAATTTAGTATTATTGCTTGTCCTGTGGTAACCACCCACAATGTCTGACACACTGAATGCTTCCTCCTCTAACACTTTCCTGCAATGAAATCCTGATAATGAATGTCCTCATCCCTCTGGCTGTGCCAATACAGCATATCCTAAGCATAAAACTTTTTTCAGCCCTTCCTCAAAATAAGTATATTTAACAATCTACTCATGGTGGCAAGAGCAAATATTGCAACAATTCAATCTGTTGGTTTCAGCAAAACAGCAGGACAAGAACTTATTTTCAGCAAGTGATATGACTGTGTGCAATCAAGGTTTATAAGGGGATTTGATCAAGTTACTAGGAGTTACTGCTGCTTAGGATTCCATTGGAAACAGAAGTTGCAGTATTCTTCTTTGCTTTAAAAATCACTGAAAATGTATTTTCCTGTTAGAAATCATTAAAACAAGGAAAACAGTAAGAAACTGTAAACATATGCACACTTGCTGTATACAAACTAGGAATATTTAGAATGAAGTTTTTTCATAGTACAGCAAGTTTATTTCATAAAGGAAAATGCATGCCTAGTCTTCCTGTGCACAGAAAACATGCTCTTAAACTAAAGAGAGTCTTCAGACTGTAGGATATACAAGAGAGGTGGAGAACATCTGAAAGAGGATAGATTTAGATTTGATATGAGGGAGAAATTTGTTATGATGAGGGTGGTGAGACACTGGAACCAGTTGCCCACAGAAGCTGTGGATGCTCCATCCCTGGAATTGTTCAAGGTCAGGCTGGTCCAGGCTTTGATCAACCTGGTCTAGTGAAAGATGTCCCTGCGCACGGCAGGGAGTTTGGACCAGATCATCCTCAAAGGTCCTTTCCAACCCAAACCATTCAATGATACAATGACACAGACAAGTATAAATAAAAAAGGATTCAAAGTCAGAGTTAAGACAAATTCTCAAAAATTACTCTAACTGAGAAGGCAAATAGAATCACCTTCTATTGCTGATGGGTGTTTACATACCATGATACATAGCAGGTATCTAGTTATTCACTAAAATTTTACATATAAGCCAAATTGTACCTGCTGGTGTTTATGTGCTAGAGAGAGAAAGCAGTGTGAGCACTGTCCAGCAGGAAAGCAGAGCCTCCTCTACTGCCAGATCCCCTCAAACCTACCGCTGAACACCGCTGCAGAGACTGATATGGAATAAAACAAATTTATGTAAAAAATTACTTTTTTTTTCATCTATAACCTGGTGTATTTTAGTTGTTCTTGTACATTTTAAGATTAAAACCAATACTGGTCTCTGAAAACTACCCTTACTGATTTCTCATCATTTCCCAGATGTATTTTCTCCTGCTATTCTCTCCTTGTCCTTTATCTGTTTCTATTCAAATTCCTCTCCCTGGCAGCAGGTTTCCACATCACCTTCCAAGCCTCGCTGCATGAAACAGCAAGTAGGAAAAAGCGTATTCAAAAGTGAAGATCCAACCTCTGAGCAAAGAAAAGTTGACTGACTTGATACTTGAAGGTGACTGGTTATCCACATGCAGTACCTCCCAGTTAATTAAAACACAGTTTAATCCTTTCCCACTGGAGTTACACTTTGTCAGATCACTGGATGTTAATACAAAATCTGGTACCTATTCTATTATTGCTCTAATAAATTTTGTGTAGCAAAGGCTGACGTGCAACTCAAGGGTATTACCATGGCACAAGAGAATTTATAAATCAGACACTGAAGTCAACTAAGGATAATTCAGGATCTTGCAAAATAACACTGGCCCCTTTTCTTGGGCACAAAGCTACGGCTTTGCCTGAACAAATTTCTACATACTTGGTTTGTGTACATGTCCTCATTTTTGCTAGGATAGTTAATTTTCTTCTTAGTAGCTAGAAAGCTCTGTGTTTTGGTTTCAGTGTGGGATTTGTTATGAGAAGAACGTTGATAAGGTCCAAGGACACCGTGTTTGGGTGGTTTGCAAGTGCAAAGGACTGGGAGGGGGGAAGTGCAGTAATTAGCAAAACCCAGAATTGGCATTTGGATGTGTCACTGAGATATTCCATATCACAGCACCTCATGTGCAGTATATTAACCAGGGATGACTGGAAAGTGGGGGATTCTTTCAGGATTGCTTGGGCTTGCTCTTCCAGGATTGTGGTTTCTGGTTCGGGGTTCCTTTTCGCTCCTCTGGGATGGCTGTTGGCGGGTGGTGAGCAATTGTACTGTGCATCATTCATTTTTATATATGTATATTATAATTATTATCATTACTATTTTAATTTTATTTAACTCTAATTATTAAATTGTTCTTATCTCAACCTCCAAGACTCCTCACCTTTACCCCTCTAATTCTCACCCCGATTCCCTGGGGGAAGGGGGTGTGTGTGTGCGAGTAGCTGTGTGGTGTTTGGCTGCCAGCCAAGTTAAACTACCAGGGAACAAGACGGGACAGAAGCACACAGCGCTTCTGGGGGACAGTTCGTGGACAAGGCATTTTCAGTGACTGCAAAGTGAAGAAGAATAAGGAGGGAGCAGCAGCAGAGGGAGCCCGAGGCCGCAGGAGGAGGAGGGCAGGAGGTGCTGAAGGTCCGGAGCAGGGATCCCCTGCAGCCCTGAGAGACCCCGCTGGAGCAGAGACCCACCCTGCAGCCCGGGGAGGGCCCCAGGCCGCAGCAGGGGGGTATTTCCTGCAGGAGCTGCGGCCGTGGAGAGCCCGGGCGGGAGCAGGGTGTCCCTGAAGGACTGCAGCCCGGGGAAGGGCCCGCGTTGGAGCATTTTCTCCCCCTGTCCTGTTGAGGAGCAGGAGTGAGAGGGGCTGGGTGGGGGTCTGGCAGCCAGCCAAGGTCAACCCACCACAGGGGTGTCAAGTGCCTGAACAAGGGGACCTTCTAAATCCTGGAAGTGCTGTGAGTCACTGCATGTGTTTCAGACATCTTATCTAACAGTGTATACTGAAGATGGGGTTGAATTTTCACACCATACAAATGAATCCTTCATTTCATCTCCTAATGCACTCAGAACAAATACTGACCGGCAGTCACTCCACATCACTCAGTCATCCTACAAGTCAAAAATCAGAGACCATTCAGGTCTAAAGAAATGCATGTGGAACTGATCTCAGACCTTCAGCAGCGTATGTATTGCCTCAGTCACTCTGATCTAGACCAGGATATAGAACATCTTTACTCTCTGGGATTAAAAAAAAAATAGGAAAAGCAATCTTTCTCCATACAGGGTCCTGTCTTCTTAACTGAGGAGCCATGAGAAGTACTGGTTTTTTGCAACAGGATCTCATGAGAAAATCAGGTAAAACAAAACAGCTTGGCTGGGACAGTCACTGAGAGTGACCTTCATTAACTATTTATAACCTAATTTCTGACTGTGCCTATGGGAATGAAGAAGTTGACAAGGATGGGCTTGATTTTCAATATCCTCTAAATCTACTGTCTTTGAAACGCAGCCAACTGATGAGGATGACAAGTCCTTTTCTCACAAACCAGATCTGTCTTTTGAGCAAGCTGAGGATCACTTCCCTGATGTGTGATATAACCATAAGACTCCTATTCTACTTGCTGCTCTGCATCTATACTGTGGTATAGATGTTTTGATGCACACTATGGGCCTCTGCTCAGACCTGCAGAAAGTTGGGCATCAATAGTTAACAAGTTGTATGATGAAGTGACCTTTCCACAGCATAACATACACTACTGAGCAGTTCTAGGAGCTTCTCACTGAGCAACGAGCACTAACTGGGAAGTTGGTGAAGCCAAAAGAGGAAGGATGATCCAACTCTTAATATTTTGTGACACTGAAATCAATAATCTCACCAGTCTCAACCACACAGGTTGCTTCCAGCAGGTTCACATTCAGTTCACATCAGCAGAAAAGGAACCAAAAAAGAGAAGAAAGGAACAAAAAGAGTAGACAAAGGAGGGAGAAAATAGCCTTGTGCGAGTTTAATGAACTGAATCAGCTTGCTGAAGGATCAGACAAGCATTAAGGCTCATGGAAGAAAAGGGAAAGGACGGGATAACTGTAAGCAAAAGAGGGGAGAGGACAGACTGTGGAGAGGAGAGGTACAGAGCTTTTAGTCAACTCATTAAATCATTCCGCAGGTGGTCTGGCCTTTGTGTCAGTGCCAAGGCATTTGCACTGCAGCTATCAAAACTTATCTTACAGGACTGCTAAGCACTGGGGCTTCCTTTGGGGCATCTTCTACCTGTTAGAGCCAAAGCATGAATGCTGCCTGGTTACAAGGACCTGCTTCACCTACAAACCTGAAGTATAGAAGTGGAAGATGGTCACCCTATGGGGAACAATTTGTTACTCAAATCTTTCCATTCTCCCTTGTGGGACTAAAGAGAGCAGGAAATGGAACAGTGTTTTGGCACGTAACAATTTTGGAGACAGAAAGGATAGCTGCTGTGATTGCTGGTGAAGGCTCAGTATTATCAAAAATGACCAGGGTTGATGCTATGATTTAAGAGTCCCACATGCCGTTAACCCTAGTTCACCTAGCTGTAGAGAGGAAAGATGAAGGTTAATGGAGGAAGGCTCTTTCATCTTTCACCCTCGTGCCCCTGGAAACATCCATCCAACATTACAACATCCCAGAATCGCCTCGACTGGAAAAGACCTTTAAGATCATCCAGTCCAATCATTAACCCAACACTGACAAGTCCCCCACTAACCCATGTCCCCCAGCACTATGTCTACACGACTCTTCAATCCCTCCAGGGATGGGGACTCCACCACTGCCCTGGGCAACCCCTTCCAATGCCTGAGAACCCTTTCAGGAAAGAAATTCTTCCTCACATCCAATATCAGCTGCCCTTGGCACAACTGGAGGCCATTTCCTCTTGTCCTGTCACTTGTTCCTTGGTTGAACAGACCCACCCCCACCTCTCCCCATCCTCCTTTCAGGGAGTTGGACAGAGCCAGAAGGTCTCCCCTCAGCCTCCTTTTCTCCAGGCTCAACAACCCCAGTTCCCTCAGCCAGGAACTCATCACACTTGTGCTCCAGACCCTTCTCTAGCTCCGTTGCCCTTCTCTGGACACACTCCAGCACCTCCATGTCCTTCTTGGAGTGAGGGGCCCAACACTGAACCCACCACTTGAGGTGCAGCCTCACCAGTGTCCAGTACAGGGTCAGAGAACTACCCTGGTCCTGCTGGCCACACTATTGCTGATCCAGGCCAGGATGCCATTGGCCTTCTTGGCCACCTGGGCAAATTATAATAATACTACTACAAATGAAGATTAATTTTTCTCATTCAAAAGTGAGTTTAATGCATGGCCAGGTCTGCCTTGCCAGCATAAACACTAAGAAGAAACCTAAAGCAACCAAATCCACCCCAATCTTTATTGCTTTCCAATTAAAAAGCCCTGGGATTTTGTTTGTTTGTATTTCACTTGTCATCTGACAGGTACACAGGCCTTCATACAAGCAAATGTTTAAGGAACAATTAACAATTTATGCTACTGTAAGATAAAACCCAACAGCAGCAGCGTTACTGGAACTGAGTCATGAACAAACTCTCAGGCTGCATTTGGAATTCTACAGTTATCCTAAAGCAAATGTGTGGAATTAAACTGAAATAACACGATGCTCCTCTCGTGCTAAATCTTGTACAACTCAAAGAAATAAGAGAGTATTATGTGATGTGACACAAACCACAGCAGTCTCCAGAATACTTCTTTCCTGAACAAACTACTACAGACAAATAAGCAAGCAGTTCCCATAATTACAACTCTGATCATTTTTGGCACTATGATCTGGACACGTTCAGAATTTTCTGATGGTGGGCAGAATTATCTTCATTGCTAGAGAATAAAATAAAATGGAAAAAGGGTATTTTGTTTGATACAGTTAATTAACGAAAACGTTCCTACAGCAAACGTACAGTGAAGATGTAGGCACAGTTAATAGAGGGCTTTTATCTGCATTTTAGGGCCAGTCTTTCTCCTTTGTAGGAAAAACTGAAGTATTAGGACTTTACTAGTTTGTTTTTTTTCTTTTTTAAGCTACAAGATAGTTCAAACCTTTCCTATCTCATGCAAAATTCAAACCTTTTCTTAGGAAGAATGTCAAAGTAGTATATAAAAGCAAACATGAGGGTGGGAAAAAGATACTTCCAGTAAGCAATGATTCCCTGTTCGTCTTTTGCCACGTAATTGAGGTTATCCACTGGCAGTCTGGCAAAGCTAAATGGTGTGTGCTCCTACAACTGAACTGTTTGCCACAGGAAGAGGGAAGAAAATTTGAAGTGACAGAATTTTGGGTGACCTAGTTACCCTAAAGTCCACTATTATTTACTCTTCCTAAGCTCTTAACTCCAGCTGTGCCTTCTGAAGCAGAGTCATATCCCTATTTTTCCCCTTCACTAGCTCATCCTCTGCAAGATGACAGACAGTCCAGCATCAAACAAAAGCCGAGTATATGGGAAATGGGTTTTATTCTGGTAACTTTTGTGCACAACCTACTGAAAATCATTGTAACTTCTCGTATCTGGATTAGTCCACGAGAATGTTTGAGATCTAATTTCTGAATGCCATGAATTTACTGCCCTTTTTGTTTAAATTATTTAAAAAAAAAAAAAATTATACAAGAGGCAGTTACTGGTTTAACACTATAGGAAGCTTTTTATTTAAGAAGCATTCCAAGACTTCTCTCCTTTTCCTAATCTAAATATTTTTACAAGCACTGTCATATGATCTTAAACGCTCTGTGTTATGGTATTACAAATATGACAGCAGCGTTTTGATTATGCACAGCAAAGCTCCACGGGTTTAAAAGGTATGTCAGGCTGCATGTATCTGAAAAAGCATTAAATGACACTCTGGAAAGGTATTGAATAATTTACATCTTGCCATAGCTCTTTCACGAGTATTTTATACAACTCCTTTCCACAAACTTCAAAACAATCATCTAATTTTGCTTTGAAAATTGATGATCTTTGTTCTGCAACATGTACAACGTGAGTCGTACTGTCTAATAAAATTGGAACTGACACTTGTACACTGTGTAACATATTTGCATAGCATAAATTATTCACATCTTATACACAGCACTACTAGCATGGAAAGGGTTCAGGAATGCTCTACTTCCTAATTTGTGATTTCACTGTACTATCAATGAAAAATTTCTTGTAAGTTATGGAAGGAAAAATATTGACACACAACCCAGAAACAATAAAGTGTGACATGCACAGAAGAGAACGTGCAACATTTCTGAAACCTATGTTTTAAACATTCCTCATTTGTTTGAATTTGTTGTATTTGTTAAAATCAGGTCCCTAAAGAGAATTTATAAAGTGAAAGTTGCCAACTGTGACATCTGCTAGTACAATAGTACAATTTTGCAAGAAATTAAGTATAGGCTATTCACAGTAATTCTGCAGAAGATATGTGTAAGCCTTTAAAGAATTAGCAACTTTTGCACAAACTGTGGTTATGAGCATAAACCACAGAAAAACATGCATAAAATTCCTGCAATGAAGTATAATAATTTATAATATTTTATATAACAATATATAAGAGTAACTATAGTAATTTACTTTTTGGTGTTCCCACATGAATTTAGTACAACATTTGGTATAATGATATTTTAAAAACTCTGAGCTCTCTATCTTCTCTAGTAGACTATTGTGTCCTGCAAATAATTTTAGTTTCCAAATAATTTTAGTGTTCCAGGAAAGTGGACAATCTTTCCCTTCTTCATCTCCAGCACTATATCCTCTCCTGAGCATGCACCATCAGTTCTTTGCCTTTTCAGCTTACTCTCTTAAAAAGCTGAAGAAAACTCAACCTTCAACAGAACACAGGTCACACCACTTACTTCAACCAACTCACTGGTGTCATGAAAATATATCAGCAAATGTACCTAGGTAATAATAATAAAAAAATAAAATTCTGCAGTTACTTTTCTATTGTTCATGGCTCCTGGTATAACTGAGTAAGATCTCAGAAGAAGGGCAGATGTCACTCCTCGCTCTGGGCATCAATTCATTATCCAATAAATAGTTTGGCAACTGAAAAGTTTTACAGCTGCAGAGGGATAAACTATTTGCTGCATTTTATTCTTTCAAAATTACATTTCTCCTACTTAAGTCTACATATAAATAGAACCAGTACTTAATATTTTCTTGTTTTTATTTAAACAAGAAGATTTATGCTTTTAAATCCTTAGAGGTGTGCTTATGCCACAAATAGGAAGAGCATTCTGTCCTAAAACTTTTCAGGATGACAAAATCTGAGATGGGGCTGGTTCACTAGATATATCACAAGTTCTGCAGATTTTCAGGACACATGGCTAGGAGATTTCTGTTCCTACTTCATCCCAGGTTACACTTATCTATTCTCTTCAGTTTGCAGGAAATCCCTTACAATAACAACAATCCCTTAAAGCAAACGAAACACCACTTGCAGCTCTTCAGGAGAAGTTTAGTGTTTTGGGTTTTTTTTTTCCTCCCCTGTTCCACCACCTTTATTCCACCACAAGATCTTCCTTAGTAAAGCAAATTATAGAGTAGCTTTTTAAAACAAGGCAAAAAGACTTCTATGACTTGATTTTGACACTGAACAGATTTATACTCTTACTTCCATTCTTCTGGAGGGTGGGCTAGTTCAAATTTCTCTCTCACATTGGACACCCCCATGTCCAGGTGTAGCCAGTGAACCTCCTCAGACTGCAGGTGACTGAGCCGTAACCCATAGCAGGCCACATTTTTCACTTTGTGACTGTCCACAATCTTCTGAATTATACCCTAAAAACAGAGAAACATACACTCCTTACAAGCTGTAAAATGCAATATAGAATCTTTTAAAATTCTACAGTAAGGCTTTCAAATATAACCATGTCATACCTTATACAAAATACTAAGCAATAAATTAGATACCACCTTTAGGAAGAATACTAAACATGTTTAATTTTAAATTACTTTTTCAGACAACCTTTTACAATTTATGGTTTTAACGAGAATGGTTTCACAAAACATCAGGGAATATGTTTCCATGTGTCTTATCAGAATTAAGCCACTGTTTCCTCTATGTAAAAGAGAGTAACATAAAATTCAAAATTAAAAAAAGCATCTTTGCGGATGAAAGTGAGACGTATTTATTCGGAAAAAATCTCCCATCACCTCTCTTTAAAAGTCACTCTTCATCCAGAGTTGGAAAATCATCTTTGACTTTCATCCTATTTAGTGCCTCAACAGCCAGGATTTGGTAGATCACGTCACAGCCCGTTGGTTTCCTTCCCCCCCACTCATTTTCTCCTGAGATTCAGCACAGATCCTTTACAAAATGAGGAAAGAGATAATTATTTGGAAGACTCTCAAACAAAAGAAATGTCCTACTTGTTTGTCCTGAGGTAAATTTCAGCATCTCAGGATCTCCTGCCTGAGAAAGGAACCTTTCAAACAAACAAACAAAAAATTCCTAACAGATTGTCATTTCCTTTCCATATCAGACCTTAGAAAGGTCTAACACACTAACTAACTAAAATTCAGATTTGGTAGCAGATCGTGGATTAGCGACCTTTCAGGTGCAGCGTGCCAGGCTGTCCTGCTCTCATCCAGATTAGAAAGCCAGCAGGAGATCAGAGCTGCTGCCTCACAATGTGGTAGAAGGTAAGGCTTGTCTCTGCAAGGTCCAGAGCTTAGAGCTCAGCAGGAGCAGGGGCTATCACTACTCCCAGACATTTCTTTCAGGAATCCACGGTCCTTTCCTTCTGATCCTGTAATGGTCTGAAAATTTCCTACTGAAAAAGCTCATGTGTGAGTGCACGTGTATAAACACACACATACACATAGATACACCTACACACATACCTGTACACACACAGAGATGCACAAGCTGCTGATTCTTGCTCAGTATTCCAGAAAATATCAACATAAAGTCACTGGCAAGTTCTACAGGAGCCTGAGATGAGCTATTGGAATTAGGCAGAAGTTTTTTGTTTTATTGTTGTTGGGGTTTGTTTTTTGTTTGTTTTTTTAAATAGGATGTTGTTCCCCCAAAATTATTATTTTGTATCCCAAAGAAATTGTTTAAGACCTTGATTTTGCAAGTTACACAAGCAGAAAACACTTAACTGCAAAAAGAGAATTAAGGAAGCACTAAATATGAATAGAGGGGGAAGATGACACATGTAGGAGTAGAATCATGCGTTTGGTGAGGTGATAGCGAGCTGTTAGATCAGCTCACACATCTCATCCAACTGCAACCTTTAAATAATCTTCCAGAAGCAACACAGTACACTGGCAAATCAAAGGTTTCAAGTGGCACTACCAGTTGGCAGCACCACACAGATCAACCAGCAACAGCAGCCAAAGGTGTCCAAGGTGCTGGGACAAAGGTCTAATGCAAACAAAAGTTACTTCCCTGAGGGTAAGTTGGTAAAAGAACTGAAGGAAGAACCACAGTGACCAGAGATGGATGCTGGGGGAAGAGGCGACACCAGGCAAGTACATACGACACTTCCCCTCAGTGCTCTCCCAGCCTCTGACTATTTTTATCCGTGTGGATTTCCTGAGCCAAGCATTGTTTCTGTCATTCATCAGCCTTCAATGAAACTCTGCTCCAGTTACTCATCCTGTCTCCTCTGAAAGCAGTTAACTTCTTGTAACCTTCCCCAGCAAGTTCCAAAGATCTATTATCAGGGCAGTGAACAGTTTTAAATCCAAATTAAACATATTGACCACAGCGTACAAACATTTGTTAAGTTTGTTTCTTGCCTGTATTTAAGGTTCTTTGTATCAGTTATTGCAAAGGAGAACAGTTGCCTGTATCCCAGGAAACACACAACCACCACCAAGTACTCTCAGAAGTGACAGAGGCACATTTAACCTCTTCTTCACCCAAAGGACAATCTCTGCTTGGTTAGTAAAGCCCAACATTTTGGCAGGCGTGCTCTCCTCTAAAGGGAACGCTGCCAGCTTTTCTATATGCACACAAACTGAAAAGATTCATTCATTTTCAGCTCTTTCTACACCCTGCATAAATAAGAGTACATAACATCTATCAGCAGATAATGAAAATGGGGGCACGTGTTCTCAAAAAGCAGTTATGCTTGCTGGGATAAGAAATGCCTTTGGAAAGAAAAAAATTAAGGTAAAATTGTTTATGACCTTGAACCACCAAGACTACTGATGAATAAGGCAGCTGAAACCATTAGTATTTACTCAGCTCAGAACCTCTGTAATTTTCAGGTTGGGATTTCAAAAGGACTGAAGAGGTCGGATGTCTTAATTCCCACCGAAAGCAAGTGAGACTTTTAAGTCCCCATCCCTTTTATATCACAAATCAATTCTAAACCTATCACAGAACCTAAAGTAAGTAATAATAAAAGAAGTAAATGTATTTTACAACTTCTTAAGGACACAACATCCCTTCTGGTCATGTTCAGAGACCTTCTAGTGGCCTTCCAGTACCTGAAGGGGTTCCAGGAAGGCTGGGGAGGGACTCTGGACAAGGGCAGGGAGTGACAGAACAAGGGGTGATGGCTTTAAACTGGAAGGGGAGATTGAGTTGAAATATGAGGAAGAAATTCTTTGGTGTGAGGGTGGTGAGACAGAGGCCCAGGTTGCCCAGAGAAGTTGTGGCTGCTCCTCCCTGGAAGTGCTGAAGGCCAGGCTGGATGAGGCTTTGAGCAACCTGGTCTAGTGGAAGGTGTCCCTGCTGATGGCAGGGGGGTTGGAATTGTATGATCTTTAAGGTCCTTTCCAACCCAGACCACTGCCTCTGTAGTTGGTATCACCCCAAGAAAATAATTAGCAACAATTAGTACATACTGCAACTCGAGAAAAAGCCAACTTCAATGTAAACATTAAGGAGACAGCAGCACTGGTGCAAAGCAGATCAAGCACAAGTGTTCTAAAAACTTATGTCAGCCCAGAAAAGAAGAACTGATGCTTTATGTGAAACAAGCACCCAAGTGGCTTCTCTTCTTTTTTGCTTGGGAATGTCAGAGAGTTCATTCCAGATGCTAATAAAACACAGCCAGAGTCAAAAATTGGAGAAATAAGGAAATATGGTGACTAAGACACTCAAAATGGCTGATCTGCAAAGAAAGACTCAAGTGAAACTGCTATTTGCTTATTTTTTTTTTATTTTTTTATTTTTATTTTGCTTATTTTTTTTATTTTTTATTTTTTTTAATTAATAAACCAGAGAAGTTGCATTTTCAAACATTTAGAGCCACACCTTCAATCAGCATCAAGTGGCACCACAACAGCGCGGTTCATTCAGCAACGCGAACTCGCACCAGGGGAAGCGCCGCAGGAATGAACAGCAGAGTAAGTTCCCGTGCAGCAGGACAGGGTTTGTTTTATCTGGCTGCTGTTTCCAAACACTACAAGATTCATCTCCAAAAGTTGTACTGGCACCGAAGCCAAAATCGAGTCAGTGTATTTAACTCCAATCGAGTAGTAAACAACGTGTAGAGTCTCCTCAGGTTCTGGACAGGCTCCACAGACCGAGTGGAGACACTTGGAGCGTCAAACAAAGCCACCCTCATCGCTCCAGGATGGGTAACAGCTTCTCTGTCTTTCACAGTCGCAGCGTGAGGAGCCCTGCCAGAAGCACGCCTGATGTTCTTCCTGGTAGTGATCAGAATGCGTAATCAGAAGTTTCCAGACAAACAATTTAACTGTTTAACCACTGCACAATAGAATCACAGAATAGAATCATAGAATCACAGAATGG